CATGCGTACATACATACATACATAAATACACACATACAAGCACCTACGCACCTACACACATAAATGCATGCATGCATGCATAAACATCGCATATGTACATACTTGCATACATTCATACCTACATCCATACATACATACATACATTCATTCATTCAATAAACTCTGGTTGAGACACTCGCTTCCACCGTGAAGGTTTTCATAGGGCGGGGTTTAACCCCAACCTTGCAGGGCAGGTTACGCACGAAGACCTACATGTCTGTGAGACTGCCACGCCGAGGAACTGAGCCACTTCGCTTCAGCGTGGTGGGTCTCCTTGGATTCGGGTTTTTTTGCGTGGCAGGGGCTTGTTTTGGAGTCTGAAGCGCTTTACAAACGGCTTGTGTGTGGGAGGTTTAATGCCTTAAAAGCCCTGAAGATACCGTTTTGCAGCAGGCCTCGTTATCCAGCAGCCCGGTCTAGCCAAAAAACACTCCCCTAACCTAGAGCAAGGAGAGCACGCGAATTGACCCTTTCTACTAAACCCTGCTGGGTACCGTTTTTTTTTTGTTTGGGTTCCAGGCTTCTCGCTCTAGTAGAGACTCCAGAAGCACAGGCTCACAGTCCCATACCATGGCGACAACACTAAGATCCCTTTTTAAAGGTCCCAACATGTCTAAAACAGGACCCTAAAAAGTGACCTTAATTTAGAGAGCTACTATATATAGTCTTACCACAGCGACTTCCTAGTACAACAGACACAGTGATTGCAATGAGGAGGGTCCTCGTTCCAGACTTTGCGGACAACTTTGGAACCAACAAGCTCAATCCAAGCTTCCGCGAGTGAGGAAGAAGTTGCACCACCTTTCCCTCTGACCCTAATGGGCCCGGGGTGTAGGTTTAGGCCTTATGTGTAGCTCTAAAAAGCTAGCTTCAACCCTCCAAACCTCGAACACTGGAGATGCACCAAGTCTCCCCTGGACAGTGCTGCACACAAAACCAGTGATGACCAGGAAGGGGGCATCGGCCCTGAGCAGGATAAAGCCCCTCATTACAGAAGCAAGACACATTCCTTAAACTACAGTAAAGGATGCCTAGCAAATCTCTGTGCAGAATCAGGTGTAGGTATAGACAAACAACTCTAAGTAAGGGTCAGAACATGGGTTTGGGTGGGTGTTCAACATTCTACGTGTTTTCCTCGTTCTAGACCTGGATTCCCGGACCCCAATATAGGAGCCTTAATAATTAGAATAGGGTTTTGGGGCCCTTTATACTATGTTTATAATAAGGAACCCCAAAAATAGTACAGGTAACTATTTAGGCCCCTACATTGTGACTCATGAAGCCTTGTGGAGGGCAAGCAACCTTCCTGAAGAGGGAGCTCAGGGACACTCTCTTGACGCGATGTGAAGGGCGCTGTGGTATCGCAGCTTCGGGAGCTACCCATCGGCCCGTCAGAAGACCAGTGCAGGGTTTAGAGCATGAAGAGTGTACGGGTTTAGGGCTTCTGGTCAAGGTCATCTTCCTACTTAGCAGCACGAAGAGCCAACTCTGATAAGCAGCGGTTTGTCAAAGTCCCTGGTAAACCCAGCTTCTTCGATCTGTAGCACAGAAGGGACTGCAGCCAACAATGGCCCGGAACCCTAAGTTGACGGGCTACATCCCCATTGAAAAACTGCCTCGACAGCGCACATGTGGCGGGCAATGCGACTGTAGCAATCTGCGCTGTTTCTAAATGCCAAAACCGTAGCAAGAACTCGAACAGGAAAGTACACGTTCTTACTCGGCTTCTGACAGTAGCCGCAAACCCTGCAAAATAAAATATCAGGCTATGACTCCTGAGTTGCAATTAGGTAGTAAAATGCTGAGACATGAAACAAACGAGGAGGCACAGATCAAGTGGCGTTTAGAGTTTAGACCTCCTGTCTGCGGTCCACGTTCGATACGGTAGAATCGAAGACAAAAGGCAGCGCATCTGAATGAGACACCCTCTTGGAAGAAGCATGGCACAGAAGCCTTCGACCACCCTGAAGACTGCAGAGTACAGGTTTCTCTTAAAAGCCGTTCAAAAAGCTCCTGTGTCATACTGCACTACAGCTGCATGAGAGTTACCAAAGATCCTAGACAACGCTTATGAGACTCCTGGCCATACAAGCTCAAAGACTTTACAAACGCCAAAGACGCTCGGGGCCCATCTGCAGCTCGGAAACTCTCCCACAGTGCTTTCCCACCAGTTTTGCAGTCGGTGCGAAGTTTCCTGAGAACTATATACCCAAACTAAAGCCAATAGAACTATACACCCAAACCAAAACCAATAGTGTCAATCACAACTGAAGATAAAAGCACATGACAAAAAGTCACCATGGATTTGAGGCTTCGGTGGTCTAGGGTTAGTTTAGACGTCGGAGGCTGAAGGTTTGGGGTTCAGGAACTTTTTTTGTTTCCAGGAGGGATTATAGGGCTGAGTAGGGGTTCTATAAACTAAGGTTTAGGAGTGGATCTTCCGAGGACATCGGGTTTAGGGTTTAGGAGTTTAGGGGTTTAGGGTTTAGGGGTTTAGGATTTAGGGGTCTAGGGTTTAGGGGTTTAAGTTTAGGGTTTAGGGTTTAGGGGTTCAGGGTTTAGGGGTTTAGGGTTTAGGAGCGGATCTTCCGAGGGCATAAGGTTTAGGGGGGGGGCATTGGATCTAAGTCAGAGGAGGACAGGTCTTACATTAAGCTGCCACATCCTACTTCTCTGCGGCTTACGATGATTCTTATTGCTACTCATATTATTCTTATATAATAGGGGACCCTACGAAAAAAAAAGTGGGGTTCTGGCAGCTCCGGTAGGGTCTCTACGACGTCGCTTTGCAGGATTCGGCTCTTGGAGCTGAGTTTTCAAGGACTCTCAGGGGGAGGAAGGGGGGGGAGGGGAGTAAGGGGCCCTCCAAGGAATGTGACAAGGATCTGATAAGGCCGCTTTTAGGAAGTCGCCTCGCTCCCTATCCCCCTAAGACATGTCCGAAAGCCGCAATCAGCCTCATAACTACTGCAAGCCCATGGATTCGATGCCCTGGCTCCTGTTTTATACCCTCCTCCAATACTAACACGCATTCCAACTGCACATCTTAAACCCGAACCCCATTATCAGGTACTTACGGCCTTTCTGACCTCCTTAAACCTTACACCCTAAACCCTATTATGACTTGTTTCGCAGTGGGCAAAGGGGGCTCCGTGGAGGGGGACACTTAGATGTGTATGGAATTCTGTCACGGTTTAGGGTAGCGTGACCCCGTTGGGCCCCACACTGCTGTTGCTGGTTTGCCATCGAGCTGCGTCCCAGAAAGGTTCGATGGTGTCTATGGCCGTCCCCTTCTCCCCAAGTCCTGCATGGAGTTTGGGCAAGGTGGTCCTTGCTTCGGGTAGGAGCCAGCTGAACATGCGACCCTGGATGGGTTTTGTTCCTTAGTTCTTGAAACTGGGTTGCTGCCTCCAAAACTTGCATGTACTTTGAACTACTAAAACTTACTTCTCTGTAGCTCCTGATTTCGCCCCTGGTCCTGCCCGAAAGAGTTTCAGAGGGCATAACGGCACACGGGCTGTTAATTCGTGTTCAAGGAGAGCGATCTCAAAGCCTTCATGCTCAGCACCCCTCCTGTGACACACGAGTTACACAGCCTCCGCCACAAGCCATTAAAAGCCTGAGGCGGAGACACTACAAACCCAGCACGTTGCGTCGTAACCCGGCAGTTCTCCAGACGCAACCAGACGTGGGAGTAGGACTAGTAGTAGTAGTAGTAGTAGTAGTAGTAGTTCCACCCCCCTGCCAACTACGCCTGCTACTAACCCTCTTAAGAGCACATCCGTTTTACTCGGTATTTACGGTACATTCGTCGTGTCATATCACTTCTTCTGGCCTCAAAGTTCACTCGTTTCGGATTGGGGGGGGGGGTCGGGGGATGATGACGACATCGCTACACAAACACCCCGAACATTTTTTCCACGAGAGCCGTTTTACTCGGTATTTACTGCACTTTCCTGATGTCGGACCCTCTTAAGTAGTCACCAAACCTACTTCTGGACTTTGCGACTCGACTTTGGGATTTCGGATGATGATGATGGTGATGGTTTGATGATGTCGAAGATGATGATGATGATGATGATGATGATGTTGACGATGATGCTGATGATGATGCTGCTGGTGGATTGAGGCGCCAGGCAGTTGGCAGGGGGGGTGGCTAGCAGTAGTAGTCGTCGTCGCAGTAGTAGTAGCAGCAGTAGGTCGTACTGGTGGTAGTGGTGGTGGTGTAGTGATAGTAGTCGTCGTCGTGGTATTGGTGGTGGTGGTACTGGTGGTGATGGTGGTGGTGGTGGTGGTGGTGGTAGCCGCAGCAGCAGCAGCAATACTGGTGCTAGGTACTAGGAGGGGGTACTAGGTAATAGGTACTAATACCAGTGCTAGTACCAGCAGAAGCCTGAACTCGAAAGGATCACATCAGAATCCGCGGTCCAGAAAGCGGGCCATCCGGCACAATCAAGACATCGCGAGCGTCAATCCACTCCTCGGTAAACTTCGATGAAGGATGTCTTTCCCCTTGGGATCTTCCCCAGCTGCTGTGAAATGCATGGCTCGAACTTTATGGTAACGATGTTTCCCGTTTTCAATCTAGTCGCCCTTGTGGGAGTCTTTCAGACTGACATTGAGTCCGACTCAAGCATCAAGCTGAGGCCATAACTACATCCCGGACCAGCAAAACAACATATCTGCATCCGTCTGCAATCCTGAGAACCGACGTTTCGTGAATGTGAACTATGTTCCAAGCCACACAGCGCACACCGGCAGAGTTCATGTACGCGCACAGGGTCTGTGCTGACCATACCTGTCCGATTCGCACCGGGTTCTCGAAAAGTTTTGCGTTCAGCCCACAAAAACTTGAGGATTTGCAAAATAGCAAGGATTGTTTTCATACAGCTGTAGCTGCTGTGCATTGCTTTCATTCCTTATTGCTGCTGTGTCTGTTGCAATTGACGTTGATCTTCTAGTGTCTTGCTTTTTGCGTGAAGGGCGCCCTAACTCACTGATTTTGTTCTGAACCCAGACTCTGCCAACGGCAACTCACTGACTCTTAAACCATAGACTGCCATAAACCCCTGTTGCCGCTACTGGTGGCTTCCGCTCGGCAGCACCGGCCGTGGCGACAGGGTTTTAGATTTATGGGCAGTGCTCTGCCACCGCTTCCTCAACTAGCGGTGTCTGCATCCATAGATTGCTACAGCTGCAAGGATGCAAGTACAAACCCTAATCCTAGCGCCTGTTGTGGAGTCTGAAGCAAGGCTCTCTGCGCATTTACCCCACGAAAAGTAGCCCACAACGAGCCTCTCCCAGGCCAGCGACAAGCTCCATCATTTGAGGAGGCACCTCGGGTTAATGTTCTCTTTCCTAGGTCCCAGAATCTCGCAAAGCCTGCAATTAAGAAATGTGACTCTAAGTAACCATATCCGAAACCCAAAACCCAAAACCCTAAACCGCAAACCCTAAACCCTATCCGGTATCTTGCGAGAAAACAGTGCGTTGTTGGAGTCCTCGGGCTGCTCTTTCTGTCCCTGCCGCATCCCAGCTCTCACAGCAACAGGGTTTAGGGTTTCAGGGCTTAGGGCTTAGAGCTTAGGGGTTTAGGGGTTTAGGGGTTTATAGGGTTTAGGGTCTCCCTTTATGCTTTCGGGCCGCGGTGGGCGGCCGAAACCAGAACTACGAGCAGGACGGCATCTACGACTTACTACGATGACGACGACCTGGTCGAAGCATGCACCTAAAACCCCCCCAGAAAGGCAAAAGCAGTGGCCCAACATTTATGAAAAAGCCACTACTCTACGCAGTTTTGGGGGGTCCAAAAACTACCCTAAACCCTAAACCCAGGCTTCTCGGCGGCAGACTCCTCTCATCTGGGAGGCTGCCAGGGCCATGGCTTCCACGGCATCCTGGTCCTCAGCAGGGAAGAGGACGGTGTCCCCGTGTCTTAGGGGTTTGGGTTTAGGGTTTGGGGTTTAGGGCGTATATAGTTTAGGGTTTAGGCGGCTGGCTTCAGGCTCTAATGGTTGGGGATGTGGGATATCTAAAATGTAGGAGCATAGAGGAAAAAAGTCAAAGAGTACCACAAAGTGCCACCGAATACACCGAATGCTTGGATAGAGCCCTGCTCCTGATGCCAGTAGGATTTCTACAAGCTCTCCTAATTCCTGAACAAAACATGAACATTTACCTCACCTAAATCTAAATATTCTTCAGTTTTGCGCAGGTCCGGATTTGCAAAGTTCACGCTTCGGGCAAGCAGGATCGGCTCCGAGCACCCTAATTACTTTCAAAACCCTTAACTGATGAGCTTGCTGGTACATCAGTTGCGGAACTTTCTGTACGGCGTTCAGGGCTGGCAGTAGGATTGCTGATAAGTCAACTTTTGCAATATCATGCTCTACCTATCTGACGAAATGAGATTCAATAGCCACGCCCGAGCCAAAGTTCCAACCTGGTCGGCAAGAAAGCCCAAGAAGTTCAACCATGCTTCCAATGTCAGTGTGAAGATATTGTTTCGGTACTGAGGGGTTTGAATGTATCCGGCCCCCAACACCTTCTGGGTCCTTGTCGATGTTGGCGATGACTTTGTCCGTGATCTCGGGCTTGTCAGGAAGAAGCTCCAGCAGAATGCTCTTCTGCCTGCAGTTACACTCATTAAAGCCATGATGCATCGTTTGAAGAGATACCCAAGATGACGTTGAAACCTCAAGGCTCTGCCTTTAGCGGCCTTGGAATTGAAGGCACGGAATCCAGCCAGGAGTGCTCGAGACTGCTGCTGAAGGGCTGAAAGGGTTTAGCCGCTTAGCACGTGAAGCAGGGGGTTTAGGGTTTAGGGGTTTAGGGTTTATTTAGGGTTTTAGGGTTTAGGGTTTAGGGGCTACAATTTCCATGGTCAAGGGTTTGAGCTGCTACAGTACCCGGTTCTAGGAGCCCTACACAAAACCTCTCCCCCTAGACCCCTAAACCAGGATTTTGGGGCAGGGCGGGGCAGCGACGAGGAGGTGGCGCGAAGATCGCGAGCGTTGAGTTCACAACACTTGCGGTCATTACCCCAATATTTATCAGGGACTCACATGGGGTCCCTTGCCTCAAGAACCCATTCTTTCGAAATCCGAAAGTCCCTGAACTTTCGAAATAGAAAACTGACATAATAGCCAAAACTCTTCCGCAGGCGAACCCCAAGCCCTGCACCATATAGACCACCAGTAGGTCCGCATATGGTGCCATTATGAAATGAGGGTGCCAAAACCATCGGGAAGGTCTTTTTGGGCCTAGTTCCACAAATAGCAGTATGTATAGCCCATGATCATTCCATATGTAGGGCTTCCCTGAACCAAAAAAACACGGAAAGCCCTGAACTGAAACCCTAAAACCCTAAAACCTAAACCCTAACACCCTAACACCCTAAACCGTGAACCCTCAACCCTTTTGCATCCCCTAAAACCCTAAACCCTAAGCCCTAAACCCTAAAGCCCTAAAGCCCCAAACCCTAAGCCCTAAAACCCTAAACCGAAGGCTGGTGGCGCCTGTCCGCGGCCGCCCGCAGCTTCTCCCGGGATTCTTCCACCGAAGTCAACCTCCAGCGTTTCGACACTCACACTCGCACACAGCATGCAAGGCTCCACACGGTTCGATCTCCACACTACCGGCAAGGCACTAGACTAGATCTCAAGGCGCCAAGGGTTTAGGGTTTTAGTTATTTTTGAGGGGCTTTTTCTGCAGAAACATGTCCACAGAGAGCCCCATAGGGCAGGCTAGTCAAGGACAAAGCTAGGAGCACATAGCCAAAGCCGTTTCGCTCTGACTTCGAACCCTAAGAAACATACAGCTTCAGGCTTCAGGCTTCCACTTGCAACCTCACGTCAGTCACTTCGATCCCGTTTGTCCTTCTTGCCCCACTGACGCCGTGCCCCCCCCCTATACAGAGCCATGCACATTTCTTCCCACTCGCGCCCTTCCTCGTCATACTGTTGATGATATACATCCTGCACTACCTTAAGGACTCTAAACTGTGGGAACAATGGCATATTCCTTATTATGGGTCATGCAGGATTTATATCATCAACCGTAGTCCTCCGATGTTCCCCTCTCTCCATGTGGCTTGCCCTCTCCAACCTCATCCACAGCCCCGCCCTGGTTGCGAACCCGCATTCGCAACCTGCGACACACCCTCTGCTGCATCATTCGCCCCAGGGTTTTAGGGTTTAGGGTTTAGGGGTTAGGGTTTAGGGGTTAGGGTTGATCGAAGCCTTAGAGTTCTAGGGGTTATAGGGGTTAGGACCGTCTAAGGTTTAGGGCTTCGGGGCTTGATTTAAAGCTTTGGGGGTTGAAGGGCTTGGGGCTTTCAGGGTTTAGGAGTCTTGGCTACATTGTTGATGGTAGACGCCGTCAGTTCTTGTCCTCTTCTCTTACCCTCTCTTCTGGGACCCCCAAGTGTAATTGAACGATGCAGAGTCTAGGCTTCTACACCCTGTACAAGGACGCAAACTGAAACCCCGGACCCTCACCTCTGAACCGAAAACCCCTAGCCCCACGACCTGGAGAACACACCGCTCCGACCCGGGACCCCTGAACCACAAGTCCTGGAAAGACAGGAGTGCAGGATCCCAGAAAGCATGTTTTAGGGACTCAGTTCTGGAGCGTTTAGGATTTAAGTGCATGGCTTGTATTTTTGTCTAGGTGTTTGTGCTTCAGGGATGAAGTTGAAGAGGAGGTGACAGCTTCGGAACATGAGGATGCTTAACTACGGTTGATGATATACATCCTGCATTACCCTGAATTCGGAATATACCATAATTCCCATAGTTTAGGGTCGCTCAGGATATATGTATATATATATATATCATCATCATCATCATCATCAGAAGGATCCGTAGACAAGCACGGCCTCATTTTATGTCGAAGCGGCTAATTTAATGTCTTTCCCCCTGTTTCCTAAGCCCTCGCTTCGGCTCGGGGTCCCTAAACTCTAAACCCTCGAAACCCTGAACCCTATTTAGAGTTAGCCAGTTGGGTTTCGCATCTGCGGCCCAGCTGCGCACTGTTGATAATCGCAACCAGCATGTCCTGAAGGTTGGTGCTGACGTTTACTTCAGTTTAGGGCTTGAACTTCTGAGATTACAGATAGGGCTGAAGCCGGCTAGAAGCCATACTCCTTAAGTCTCAAGCCTGTCTAACTTCACGGACCTATCTATCGACATCTCAGACGGAAGTTGCACTCGAAGCAAGCAAACAAACTTGTCCATCTACACCCTGACGTGATGTAGTGATGTACTCCGCGGGGCTGGGATCTTTCGTATAAAGACCGTAAGAAGACATGGGATATCCCAACAGTGCTTCTACCTAAACCCCAAAACCCAAATCGCAAAGCCTAAAGAATCCTTATAAATCTTGTAAACCAATCAAGTAACCCTTCCAGCCACCAGGCAAAAGGAACCCAGCGGTCCCTTCAAGGAACTATCCGAGCCCTCAGGGTTTAGGGTTTAGGGGTTTAGGGTTTAGGGCTTAGGGTTCAGCCCTAAA